GACTGCCTTCGACTCAGGTCATGATCCCGGGGTCCTGGGATCGAGTCCCACATCAGGCTTCCCTTGCTCTGCGAGGAGCCTGCTTCTCCCTCTCCCTCTGCCTGCCACTCTCCCTGCTTGTGCTCTCTCTCTGTCAAGTAAATAAATAAAATCTTAAAAAAAAAAAAGATTCTCTCTCTTCCTCTCCCTTCCCCCCACTTAAAAAATAATAAAATAAAATTTTAGTTGTTTCTTTCATTTCAGTTCATCTGAATTATTCTTACATAGTAGATATAGAGGTAAATATTTATGAAATTAACAAATCTTCATTGTTCTAACCCAAGTTAATTAAATATTAATACTTTAATGGTTTCTACTTGAATATTACCTAATACATAGTTCTAATTAATTGTATCAGAAGGCTAAATATTAAAAATACAGTTATTCCTACACATATCTGAAAATGTACGACTTTCCCTGCCTCCCAGAAAAATAACTTTTACTTACTAGACAACATGATCTAAAAGTAAGTAGAAATTCTGGTTCAGTATTTATAAGAAATAAGGATTCTTAATCAGGACTTCACCCAGTGGTGATGACTGATTATAAACATCCTTATGAAAGGATGAAAGGTCTGTGAAAAAAAAAGTATTATTATTTTTTAAAGATTTATGTTTTAGGTAATCTCTACACCCAACATGGGGCTCGAACTCACAACCCCAAGATCAGGAGTTGCATGCTCTGCCAACTGAGCCAGGTGCCCCTGAAAAAAAATTTTTAGATGCATATGTGAGTTTTTCTAGGAAGAGCTGTCATTAGTTTATCAAAGGGGTCCTTGTCCCAGAAGAGTTTTAAGAACCACTAATATGAAGTGTTAGAAATGAAAATAAAGATGTTATTTTAAATATTATTTCTCAAAGGAATGGTGACAGCACAGCAAACTGATAATTCTGTGGCATTCTACCATGCTACTAGCTAAAGCTCTTGTGCCAATTTTAGTTTAAAAAATTTTTTATTGTTCCCAAATCCATCATTCCATGTTTTATAGTGTTGATCAAAATGTGTCTCAATGCTGCTAGGTAAGAGTTTGCCATATAGAACTTCAGATTTTTTGAAAAAAGTTTTCATACATATTATGTAAATGAAATGAATAAGCTTTAGCCTAACATATTTATTTTGTTTACCTGTATATTGTATGCTAAAAATGCATATTTTTGTGAAACTGTATATATGTTTCTTAGCGGGTATTTTATTTTTCTTAATATGTGAGAGAGATGTATTATTGGATTAATCAGGTATTTCAATTATCTGTAACTATTCACAGAATCTTAAGTTGCCAAATATTCATTTGTTCTTTTCAGTGGTTACAGCCTGTGACATGGCAGGTGCAGCCATGTATGAGCTGGTGAGAGTGGGCCACAGTGAGCTGGTTGGAGAGATTATCCGATTGGAGGGTGACATGGCTACTATCCAGGTGTATGAAGAGACTTGTATCCTTTCTTGGTTCAATTTCTTGCCACTTTGTACAAGTCAGAATTTAAGGATTTATGGCAGAGGTGGAAGCAGCAACAACCAATTGTATCAAAAGTATGAAATGTTGGGTGTTGTAAAGAAACCTGACTTACACAGGAATTTCAGAAAAGATACTAGGAATTAATGATCTTATTTTAAGAAATTAGTATTATCTTCTGAACTTTCATTGCTCTTACTATTTTGGTAGTTCACAAACACGGGAAACCAATTACAATTTTTCTTTTTTTTTTTAATTTAATTTTATTATGTTATGTTAATCACCATACATTACATCATTAGTTTTTGATGTGGTGTTCCATGATTCATTGTTTGCGTAT